ATAGATAATCGAGAGATATCCCTAACTCAAAAACTTGAATTGTGTGCATAAAATTGAAATGTATACATTCAATACAAAAAGCAAACCAAATCTTTGTAATTATCTAAAGTCATTATATTTGGACTATATAGAGTACATGAAATGACAGGATTCCAGGGTAGGAGGAAGAATCACAAATGTCTATTGTACTGGTTGAAATCATTTATTTTATATAACAATATCAAGCCTTTAAAATCAAAAGTCTTTTGACCATCCCAGTAATATGGAACCACTGCCCAGGCTGACAGCCACAGTTCTTGATTTAAAAAAGCCTTTGAGATTAGCTGCTTTTAGATTGGCCACTAGTTTCTTCTGAAAAAGAAGAAATATAAAAGTGCTTCCCAGTGGAACTCCGCTCAGGCAACAAAATCTTTCCATTCTCTATGTGCACATAAAATTTCTGGTCTTTTTTATGGTAATTGTGGTTTGTTCTCTGACATCTATCATTCTTATTCTGAACTTCCAGTTTTCAGCTTCAGAGTTTCGTAGCCCTGTCAATCATCCCATTTGGACAGCGCATGAAAAATAACATTACTAGCACTCATATTTTCTTTCTGCAATTAGCATTTAGAGCATAATGGTCTGAATCAGCTTCTGCAGGTCCTCTGTTAAAAAAAAACCTGGTGGAAATCAAGATTAAGCTGAGTTTAAACTGAGCTTCCTCGAGATTCTTAAACTGAGCTTCAGTGATGGCAACTGCAAGGATATGCCATTGGAAAGCTTTTTTGCAGACATGAAAGTGGGTTGCTATGGCTTTCTACCAAAATATTTCTGTTTTGAAGCTACGGCTTTTAGATTTCTTGGTAAACTTATATCCAAGTGCTAATGAGAGCCATTCCTGATTAGTTTTGTAGGAAGGGGATCAGTCAAGCTCAGATAGTTCTACCATCTACTGAGACATCACAGAGAATAGCTATTGGTCTTATTAACCTATGTGTGGAAGTCCTCTTGATTTACTGTATGTCTCCAGATTTTAAACCATTACCACCTACTAATTTTTGTTACATTTGCAGTGACACACACCTGAGCATTAGAAATAGAAAACATGATGAAACATTTGCTTTCAAACTCCAATCATTTCAAAATATTCTATTATTAAGATAACAAAAAGATTTTCAGGTTTGTTAATACCACTAAATGGTGTTCATGAGCAATAATGTTTAACTCTCCTCTACACTTCCTTGTCTCTCTTCTGTTCTTTGTATCCTCTCTTTTTCTCTTTAGGTCTCTGGTGCTAGATAAAAAAAGGCAACCTGTCATTTGTTTCAGAAGAGCAGCAACAATGACATTTTTATATTCCCCAGATGAAAAGTTTTAATATCTATTCTACGATAGCCGTAAGTGAAAGTGCAGATTCCTCCTGAATCTTCACAGGAAATTTACTTTTTTTTAAAAAAGGAAACGCTGCTGCATAGTAAATCTGAATACTACCTACCTGGCCAATATATGATTTACACATCATTTTAACTTTAGCCATAATTTGCATTCATGCTGACATAATATTTATTGCCAGAGGAAAGGTATTTTTAAATAAGTCCTTGAACTTTCAGTTCAGTTGAGGAACGTATGCAAAAATAGTACACTGAGCAATTTACACAATACAGTAGAATTTCATGTTAAGTTAATGAAGGAAAATAGTATTACTGTTGTAATATTTTATATTGCTCTATTTTAGCTCTATGTTTAAGGTGACCAGATTTTCAGATTGGTAAAGAGGGACACCATTGACAGGGAGGGCGGGGGGGGGGGGGGGGGGGGGGGGGGGG